CGTGTGTGTGTGTATGTGTGTGTGTGTGTGTGTGTGTGTGTGCGCGTGTGCGTGTGCGTGTGCGTGTGCGTGTGCGTGTGTGTGTGTGTTATAGAGGTTACGGTGTTCATCTCTCATTCAATAGGTCCACGGTTCAAAACCTGACAGCGACGGTAAATGTTCTTCTCTAAAATCTATTCCTTTCACCTGCTCTCTTAATTCTAAACATGTTCTGTCATCTGCGTTCGTCTACTCTTTCTGCCTCTTCCCCTTTGCTCCCTCCTTTAGGCTCCTGACTCTCTCTGCAACTGCTCTACTCTACTACTCCTTAGCTCCTTATCGCTGTCTTTCAGCAACACCCCTATCTTATGGTAGATGAAATCAAAACAATATTATTATTATTATTATTATTATTATTATTATTATTATTATCATTATCATCATCAGTATTGTTATTATTATTGTTATTATTTTTATATTATTACTATTCATTAGGTAATCAGAAGCACACCGACACAGTAACGACAGGACTGCTCACCCACAACTAAAATATGTTTTAGTAATCAACAAAGAGAAAATTAGAAATCTGGCTTAAAATTTTGTAAAACGTTCATGGATAGTCTTGTTCCGCGGGTTGTCATGGACAGGGGTTGTATTTTCAATGATGAAGGTAACGTAAACAAGGGGTGGAGAAAGAGGTCTCGGTGGACTCGTCTTTGTCGATATAAGGAGGGAAAAGGGTGTATGGGGTATGGTGTGTATTCATTGGCTATGAACTTGAATTTTGTGTTTTTAAAAAGAAAATTTAAAAAAAAAACATGAAAAGAGACTGACGGAACAACAGAACGCTTTACAAGCCTTACTTTGATCCCGATTTTGAATCACTACAAACCATGCCGCGCGTCGCAGCTGATAGTTTCAAGTTTCAAAAAATGATCCATGTTTTTTAATATTTATTTTTAAATCTATCACAGGCCGGGTCCGTTATACACATTAAAGCAGGAAAACACCTTGCCAACTACAGTATCGTTCGCCTTACTCCTGGCTTTGGAGCAATTAATATTTTTCTAAGGGCAAAGTGGGACTGAGAGACCGAAAGAACTCTACAAAAAAAGGTGTTAAATTTAGTTTTTTTAAATGCGATCGACTAAATTAGTAATGGGGGTCATAAAAGCAGGGGTGAAGAAAGACAAATAGATATCTAGGCAGAAATAACAGAGAGAAGGAAAAGAAGTATAACCTACCAGTGCCTCCAACCATCCGAATAGTAATAATAATAATAATAATGGTAGTACAAATAGTGATAATAATAATAATAATAATAATGGTAGTGTAATAATAATAATAATAATAATAATAACAATAGTACAAAAAAATGATGAAAATAAAAATAATACATAAACACAATGTAATAAAAGCAGGCGTGTGTGTGTGTGTGTGTGTGTGTGTGTGTGTGTGTGTGTGTGTGTGTGTGTGTGTGTGTGTGTGTGTGTGTGTGTGTGTGTGTGTGTGTTTGAGAGGGGGGGGGTTACAAAACAGACGCTTTAGTTTTGGTTTTAGTAAGAGAGTGCATTTGCAACACCATAAGGTCATGTAAGTGCCGAAGATTAGATGTGTTAGAGGAGAGTAAGAAACACAAAAAGGAGGAAAAATCAGGACGATAGATGTCTGATGGTAAAGATGGAGCAAACCAAACCAAAGCACCCGCCAATCACCAACACAGACATTTTGAGTAGAGGGTAGTACAATAGCACTATGAAGGCCACTTAGTGCAGGGAAAAAGTTAGGCCCCTAGTTTAGTTTCAGTAAGAGTTTTACGGCCCTTGCTACACAATAAGGTCATATAGATCTAAGTGGCGAAGATTCGAGGTGGATACTTTACAAGAGAGTAACAAACACATCAAAGAAGGAGTAGAGAGAAGGACGAAAGATCTTTGACAGGAAAGAAGAAAAAGTGAAACATAAAGAAAAGAGCATTAACCAGAGCTCCTACCCCCCCGCCAACGGACAAACATCAGCAGAAGAAAGGCAAAGACGAAGAAAACGGAGAGCGGACTCACAAGGTACTCTCGGATTTATTAATAGCTCTTAAATTCGGTTAACAGAAACTGCTGACTCTTCCTTCTTTTGGTGGGTGTTTTCATTTCGCACGTGCACTGCGAGCCCTGTTCTGCGTCCTGCGTGAGAGTGAGAACAACCAACTGTTGGGCTCAGCCTTGGCCCAGCCAGCCTGTTTGCAAATAAATGGGATGCACGCGCACACAACGAGCTTGGGAAAAGGATACGTGGGGAAAGGGGGGGAGGGGGGTGTATGTTCCCATGAACACAGCTGTATTTCTCTTTGGTGGCGGGGAAGGTGGAGATGATGTAACGCTGACAAGACAGGGAACAGATTCCAGACAACAATGTGTGACTGAAGTGGGAGAAAACAAGGGAAAAAGGAGAGGGGGCGGCAAAACAGTATACAAGGATACATTTTAGGGCCTTGTCAGACGAAAAGTAAAAATCGCAGCTGTAGTTTCTGCGCAATCTGGTGATACACTGTTGGCAATGGAAGCGGTCACACGAGCGGCACGCGTTGTTTGTTTTTTTTAAGTCCTGGCGCAGGCCTAGCCGACGTGTGTGTCCCCATATTCCGCTACGCCGCGACACACCAGCGTTTTGGTGAAAGCACCTTCAAGGGACGTGGACACACGAGGTATATTTACTGCAGGAACATTCCTGCAATAGTTGTATTTTTTCTCGCTTCCCATTCAACACGACACAATTCCCAGTGCAACAATGTCTTCTTATGACGAAACAGAGCGTTTGACTTTGGAAATAAAGAGCAGAAACACCACTTGCGACAACACACGTGAGGAATATTTTTTTAAAAATAATTTTAAAATGCTTAAATAGATCAATGCCTACACTCAGATCAGAATGCAATGACGAAAGTAACGACGAATTTGGATCCATCTTCTAGAAGTTCTTCATATAAAGTGTAAAACTGTCCTCTCAGTAATCTGTGAGAAACAATGGGATGAACTCAACAATTTTTTAAACAGATTCTTCTCATCATTATGAACAAAGCCACCCTGACTCTCCGATCGTCCAAGTTGAACTGAGCAGTAACGTTAAACGTCGCCTCGTGTGGCTGCCACACAAAAGTAAGCGTCACTTTCGGCGCAGAAGTTTCGACAATTGTAGCTCGTCTGTCAATGCTGTTACGCTCTTTACGAATAAACATTATAATAGTTGTTCATCATGTATAATAATATAATAGGAGTAACAGAAGTCAAAATCAAGTGCCAGTTCTGAAGCATGGTTCATCACTCATTTCTCCACGCGGATGCTCTCATATAATAATAATAATAATAATAATAATAATAATAATAATAATAATAATAATACAATCATCATCATCATCATAATCATCATCATAATAATAATAACACCCCCCCCCCCAAAAAAAAAAAACCCCTCTATATCCAGGACTTCACTCGTTATCCTTAGTTTTTAGTTTTAGTAAGGTCATACGAGCGCCAGAAGATTAGAGGTGATACAAGAGAGTAACAAACATAAAAAAGAAGAAGGGGAGATAAGGACGATAGATGTTTCATAAGAAAGAAGAAGCAAACCACACCAGAGCACCCGCCAACCACCCACTCTCGTTATCCATTTAAGTTCTCCAAGAATGTTAAACTAGGTCCACCTTTTCTCTTCCATTGTTGCAATGAGAAGAAAATGTTCAAGGCCTTCACGTCGGTTCAAGTGGAACCCTAATCGTTGGGTTTTAAAAAAATAAATGCCTGTCTCACATATAGTTAGCAATAAACATACATTTATACACAGGCACGCACGCATACAAACAAGTGCATGTGCGTTCATAATATATGTGTTTTATACATTAATCCATGTGGGTGTGCGTGCCTAGTTAAAGGCACCTTTTGATGCATTTTGAAGAACTGCGTTTTATTGCATTTTATTAAACAAAAATTATTTCTGAACGACTACGCATATATATTCAAAGATGATTTTGGTGTAATTAAAACCAGAAAACCTTCCTCTATAACATACTAAAAATCGGCATGAATCGGATAGGAGGAAATTTGTGATCAATGCCATTGAATATAGAATTAATGGTATAGTATCGAAATAGTCACCAATACTTAATTGTTTCAGAATTGCACACCGTATCTCACATCCCACTTTTTATTCTTATTTTGTCTTCAGGGCGAGAAGGCCAGTACAGCAAAACGAAGTACGTTTCTATCACAGACAGGCTCGCTTGCTGAGGGCTAACAATCACGTAACGTGGACAAGACGGCAGTGGTCTCAGGTCCTTTTCACGGATGAGTCTAGATTTGTTCTAGGTCGCCACGAAGGTCGAATGCGGGTATATCGCCGTCGAAATTAAACGTTTGCTGACCAGTGTGTACATGAAATCCCTAACCGGGGATATGGGCAGGTGATGGTCTGGGGCGGAATCACAACAGAACTGGTACAGGTTCCGGCAGCACTGAATGGCGCCAACTACGTAGCCATCATCTTGCAACGACATGTGGCGCTGTTTGTGCAGAACCATCCAGGCTACTGCTTACAACAGGACAACGCTCCAGCCCATCGTACCAGGGTTACACAAGCTTACCTCGCACAGCAAAAATTCGGTTTCATCCATCCCTGGCCAGAAGTATCACCCGACATGAACCCGATTGAACTCTTGGGGGATATTCTCGGGCGTCAAACCCAAGAGATGTATCCCGCTCCTCAGAACAACACTCAGTAGATTCAAGCCTAACCAACGCTTGGAACGCTATCCCACCACATCAAATTTCCAATATCGTCAACTCTATGATGCGCAGATGCAGCGCCGTCATTGCCGCAGGCGGCGGTCACACAAGATATTAATCCTGCCAAACTTTCAGACATTAACTGAAATGCTTTCGATTTGACCAGTACCAGTGTACTTTGCTATGAGACTTTTCAAAAACCATAATTCGGGATTACTATGTCAATGTAAAATTTCTTATTGGAAAAATGCACAATTTCTCATTTTTAAAATCTGGACCCTATCACTTCCTGTGGAGCTTGAAGCACCAGGTGTGTATTAGAATCTATGTGCATTAATACATGTTTTCAAATAAAGAAATGCTTCTTCTTTTTACATGTAAAATGCTGTCCCTGTGTCTGTAATGGTTTATTTTTTACTTAACACTATTTTTATGTCAAGTTTCTTTTATTTATATATATATATATATATATATATACTCTTATATATTATGTATATACAGGTATATATTTATTAGAGATGTCAACAGAGCTTGAAAAATTATAAAATGCCTGAACTTTTTGCGTTACCAAAATTGAGTCGATAGTGCCTAAAACACCTACTCAATCATCACAAAAATCAAACAGATTGGAAAACGGAGCAGTTATATAAATATCACGCAAAAAGTGGACTTAACATTACATAATATGATCATTAGTATGATTTCGTGTTTGTTTATGAGCTACTGGATCCATGCAGAGCATGAAACCATTTTTGGCATATATGGATCATCTACCATTGAGGAACTGCTATGGTCTCGCGTGGTCTGAGGTGGAATGAACAAAACCACCCTCGTGAGAATCAGCGGATGGGGGGTTTAGTGGACTCCATCGCGCTAAAGCTGGAACTTCATGTCTAACCATATTTTCGTCATTGTGTCATTCAAGTAGACATCTCCATGTCAAAAGACAATTCTTGGAATATCAAATCAAATCAAGGTTGGAGAGGTCACCAGTAAGTAGCCCCAATATGAATCCTACAATTACATGAAGTCCCATGAAACAGCAGCTGAAGAAAAGCGACTTTGCTCCCAATCCAGACTCTTTATTTGTAACTTTCTGTGACATTTAGGATGAAATGATAGATAATCATTTCAAAACTCTAATACAGTCGATGCTGAAAGGGTTCGTGCTCTACAAAAAGCCAATGGCTTGAACTTGTACGCTAAATAGTAATGAGTACATTTAAATCTCAAGTCCAAATTTTGCATGGTATTAGTGATTGCTCTGTTTTCCATGCATTGAAACTACCGTTATAAAATATTGTTTATTGCAGAGACAAAATTCTCCATTCATTGGATATGCAATGTGTGTTCATTCTATTAATATTGATACTCCTCAATACACGCCCGAAGACAATGTGTTTCTTTGATTTCGCAGCTTTGCCAAGCCTGATTTATTAGGTCAATTTTGAGTGACCACATCTCGAACGTCTCAGAACATAGAAGAATTATTAAAGATGACGCAGAATAGCAGAATTTATTTAGCTTTAAATTGGTGTGCTGCATGAATGGGTAATGCCAGGCTTTAACACGATGATTGGGTGATTACATTTTCAAGTTACTATTAGACGCCACTCTCTCTATTATAGGTCTATAATATATAC